CAGATTGAACTTGTTTCTTCCATTGGAGCAATCTTCAATTAGCGTTTTGATCTTGTGGAGAACGATGTACATTTTCTCGAGGCGCAGAGGATGAGAAAGTAAGGGAACAAAACGGAGTTGGAATTGGAAACGCAAATCAGGTCCTCGAAAACGACGCCAAGAAGCTGCGTTTTGCGGATGGTAGAGGAGGAAGTGCGGTTGAGGAGGAAGTTGGCGGTGTTGGTGAGGGAACATATCTGATCCGTGAGTTGAAGCAAAGACATTATTTTGAATTAAGTCTAAATTTTTTTTAAAAAAATTTTTAAAAAAATATTTCAATTAAATTGGTAAACATTGCCCCTAAAATTATAACATTTTTTGGCTATTTATTAAAACCGCCAATAATTACTTGATTTTTTTTTTGTAGTAATTGTCCAATGCTGTCCATCTTTATGATTGATCATGAATCTTATTTCTTATATGAAAATTATACAATCATAGAATTAACAATAGCCTGAGACGTGTGATAGCTTTGTCCTTAAGGACTTATCTGCGGGATGTGCAAGTCTCCCAAAGATATAACAAGTCTTTCCCAATTAATAATTGAGATATCAGAACTAACAAATTTTCAACTGAGAATAATCTATGATACTCATAATATAATCAAGAAAAGATGTGTGAGAAGATACTTTCAAAACCTTTTGTATGTTATTTTTATAATGAAGAGAAATTGTTTCTCAAAAACACCTTTTTACCAAGTCTTAGGATAAAAAATGTAATTATCTCTTGAAGGCCAAGTCAAAATATAAGATAAGACTTAATCTAAAAAACCAAGTCAACAAAACTGAATTTAATTAAAATATTTATTTAATAAAACAAAATTTATTTTATTTTTTCTAATTAAATAAACATGTTAATCTTTTTGAAATATCACTAAAAAAAATACAACAATTCCCCACATATTTCAAAAAGGTTAAAGAAAAAGTTTTAAGAAAATAAAAGAATTTCATGAGTTCTCATTCTCTTGGATGTAATGTGTTGGACCTGGTGCAACAAGCTATATGAACCAAACCTAGCTCTATAAAACTTAACACACCATATAATTGTTATAGCAAGCTATATGAACAAAAGACACTTGACGCATGTTAGAGGTCTACCAATTACATTGCATCCCACAATTCTTGTTGTTATTGTTGTTGTGCGCTAATAGGCCATGCAGATGCTCGATATTCATGACTGCTCTAGAGATCTCATCAAAATCTCATACAAGCAGCCCCACCTAATACTGATATAGGTGATTTCATTAGGTGTATGCCGCAAATCATACACCACCCATAAGGGATATAAAAATCATTAAAAAATTTATAAGTTGTCAAGCTTTCCCATAACCTCATAAAGCTTAACAATAAAACTTATCCTCACATTAATGCAGTTCTAACACTTTCTCACATCATAGGAAGAGACAAAAAAATATATTAAAATTGATTAAAATCAATTTGGTGCTAGCAAAACTGACAAGGAACTTGTTTTTACCATCACTTGTTTGTTTTCAAGTGGCTTAATAGTCTCATTCCTCTCGATGTTTAATATAACAATATCTTCCGTAGGGATTTAAGTCATAAGATCGACTGAATTCATTATTGACTTCATATGATCAATAAATTCAATCATTATGTTATACACAACTTATAAATAATTTTATCGAATCTTCCTTTTGTCCCATATCTTATAACAAACTTATAGAAAGGTCTTGATCTCTTGTTCTTTTCCAAGAATCATTGTCAATAGCAACATATACACCAAAATTCTTAAATCATGGTAAGATACATATCATAATATGACATCAACTTTTAAACTTGCATTGCTTACATATATCACATCTCAACTTATAAGGTTCAAAAAAAACTGCAAGTCTAGTTTAGTCTAAAAAGTCATGTATCAAAAACAAATCTAAACTTACTATTCACTTTATTTAAAAAGCCTAAAACTTCCACATTTTTTATGAAGCAAAAAAATAAATAAAACTTTATCACTATAAAAAAATCCTCTAGACTCACCGGTGAAGTTGTCCCCATTTATGGTGTGCCCATGGAGCCTCCCTACTAACCTGTTTAGAAGCATTGATTCTACGTTTCTCCATGGTTTAGGTTTTAAGGTTTTGCAAGGAGGTTAGTTTCATTGTGTCATACTATCCACCGTAAAACTCAAATTTTATGGACAACAAATAAGTTCTTAAAATTGTTGTAAATTATTGTCCATCTTCATGATCAATCACAAACAAGAGTCCTCTTTCTCATATGAAAATTATACAATCACAAAATTAAGAGTAACCTGAGACATGTGATAGCATTGTTGTTAAGGACTTATCCGTGTGATGCGCAAGTCCTCAAGGATATAACAGGTCCTTCCCAATTAATAATTAAAGCAACAAAATTAACAAATTTTCAAGTGAGAATAACTAATAAGACTCGTAATATAATCAAAAAAAGATATATGAAGAAATGTTCTCAAAACCTTCTATATATTATATTTATAATGAAGAGAAATTGTTTCTCAAAAACACCTTTTACGGAGTTATAAGTAAAAAAAAAAAAAGAAAGATCTGTAAAGAAAAAGTACTAAATTAAATGTTGTGAATGTAAAATTAAAAAAAAAAACAAAAAATTAAGAATATTTTAAAATTTTAATTATTTTTTTTGA